CAAAGCTCTTATATAAGCATCTGGAGAAACATTTTCTAAAGCCACTTGACGAATTTCTTTAACCAAGGCAGCTTCTTTTTCTGCAAAACAAAGGCAGAATCATGAAAACTGATTACTCAAATAATTTTTTGTCAGTTAAAATTAATACTCTTTATTTATACACCTATTTCATGTATGTGTTAAAACATGACGTTCTTTATAAATGATTGTCAGTAACCCAGGCAATGAAGTAGAAAACAAAAACAGCAACAGGTAATTCAGTTCAAAAAACAAAAAACAAAAGGAACCTCAGACCTAATTCCTCCGGTTGTCCAAATGTTGGATTAAGTGCTATCAACCAGTTATATCATATCTATGGTGTAGCAGATAAGTATTTGGAAAACCGTATTGTTGCCTTATCAATTGGATGGAGATTTAAGCTTCATATGACAACAATGACTTTTTGTCACCTTGCACACTACCTACAGGGTTAGATTGCCAGGGGGTTAGAGGCAGAGGGACAATGATAAATAATATGATCGCTGTGTGAGTCACATGCAATGCAATTCCAGCAAAATTATCAACCAGTCATTTGCAAGGAAAAATCATGATCCCAATGGAATAACTGTCTTGTTCACTGACGATCAACCTCGTACTCAGGGCCCTGATCTCCTACTTGGCCACTGTTGCTCCAGGGGCTGAGTAGAGGAGGACCCTAAGAGCAAGTTGGCCTGACAGGTGTACTATTGAACTAACCCCTGGCCCCGAAAGGATAAAACTTGTGACTGGATTTTATAAGTTAGAATAATTATCATTACTTACTCTGACTTCAAGATGAGCGCCAAGTAAGGCCCCAGTTGTTTACAAGGTGGATAGTGCTATACTATAGCTTTATTACTATCCAGTGGATAGTGGAATATTTTATTGGATTGTTTAAATATTTACCCACTGGATGGTGATTTAATACATGTAATATATAGAGCATTTTCACATGATGTCATGTCTGCCATGTTGGGTTCCCAAACAAGTCCTGTGGGAGTTCAACATTTTTCTCATGTAAACGCTTTCTTTGGATCCAATAAATTTGCACATAGCTGCTGTCCACACGAGTTAAAATGCTCTATAAGGTGGATAGCGCTATCCAACTTTGGAGCAGCTGGGGCCTGGTTTACAGGTAACACTTAAAATGAACCCTTAGTACAGTTGTAGAGCTAATTGATTGACCTACAGCTATCGTTGTCCACTAATTATGCCCCATAAACTATTTGAATAAAGACTTTGTACTGATATCTGTATAAGTAAACTAAAAATGATTAATTCAAATGCAAGCTTCAAAATCTGAGTGAAAATCAACGCATAAAAAAACATAATTTTGATCCGTTTTTGATTGCAAAGCACACTTTTTATGACCAAAGGAGTTTGCTAGTGCCACGCATTGGGCATTGGCTGGCTGATATCAATTATTGGAAACCCAAAAAAAAAAAATAACAGGAATTTCAGGCTCGAAAAGTGAAAAACACACTGTATTTAGCTGTTTTACAGATTTGCTGGACAACTGAGTGTGTTAATCCTTGCACTCTTTATTTTATATGTAACAACTTCATGTAGACCCATTTGAACCAAGAGATGCCCTTAAGGACCACACCCATCAGTTTCCTACACACTTCAATTCAGCATCCTCATCACTTGAAAAACTAATGTACTGCAGGCCCTAGCCGTCATACAATTCATTACTTATGTTGGCCTGCTAATTTCTTAATTGACTTACCCGGCTGTATAGTAGGATACTTCATTCCAAAGAACTTCTTCTTCTTGTCAAGAATACTCTGGTCCACAAGATCATCCAGCGCTTTGTAAGCACAGGATTTTTCAGACTTATCTTTCCATATGCAGATTTCTTTTTCAAAATAATCTTGGAGCTTTTTGGGCTTTTCAGGTGACTTATCCTGATGCTTCTTAATTTGTTTGAAAAGAGCATCATCTAAACATGTAATTCCAGTTGGGGTAGTATCCTTTACCTTTAAGAAAAAAAAAGTAACATCCAAATAATAGCTGCTGATCAGGAAAGCATTATGGTGGGCACAAAGTTAGCTAGGGGTGACTTTAAAGACAGTCATGCTGAACACGTACATGTAGAGGCAAGAATTTCTGATCAGTTACATTTGATTTGTAATCATACTACCTTATTGAAAAATCAAAGAGCCATAAAACAATGCACTTCCACTCAATTTCGGATGTAAGATAATTTTTATGTGCTCTGCCAATTTTTGGAATAATTAGCAAGATTCCAGCTCATTATTTAAAGCAAGCATTGGTCACATGACCTCTTAATGCAAAAGGCCTAATGGTCTCACTTACATGTAGGGTTTTTGGGACAAAGTCACTGTATTTGCTCATCTAGGGATCACTGGATTAGGGCTATGGCTAAAGAATTTTACAAAACAATGCCATGACACTGACCGCACAGAAATTATGCTTAAAAAAGAACACAACATCCCTGGCACTTGTTCAGATTAACCTGGGTGGCTCTTTAGATGTATTTAGATGTCTGTTTTCATTCGGTCTTCTTTAGAGGTTACTGTAGTTGAAGCTTAAGCCACACTCACATTGGTCTTCCTTAGGCGTTTAATTTGAATTTTCCAGCAAGCATTCCTGTCACCCTGCATTTGAATGCTGACACTAACCAATAAGAGAAACTAGGATGTCTTGTGACTCAGGGCACAATAAATTTGATATCACTAAAAAAGAATGTTACTTATGCTCTGCCACTTACTTTCCTTGAATGGAAATTTTTGTTGAAATTATTGTTTACTGGAATAAGAATAATAATAGGACAATCACATGACTTTTGGAGGGCATACTGAGCAGCATCATTTGCGCCCGAACAAAGCAAGGTTGCAAATGATGCTACAAGGGACACAATTATATATGCCCGCCAAAAGTCATGTGATTATCATTATATTATTATCTGCAATACACAACGCGAAATCTTTGCCGCAGCGAGCAAAATGAAAACACAACAAAAACCTAATAAACTCAACTAACTTCTCTGCATCTTTCCAAACGCCGTCCATTTTCTGCCCTTCCATGAAGTAGCGATTCAATTTCAGTCTCCTGACTGAATAGATGATTTGTGTTTTGGTTTAGCATTGTTTTGTTGGCGAACATGAATTCGCAGACTCTTACAAAATGTTTATGTTTCAGCTGAGTGGAGCACAGGTTAGATGGCGATGAATTCCTGCATGATCTCATTCCAGTTCATGCACTTGGAGTTAATGTACAGCCTTTAAAATCTCTGTTTTCACTTCAGCGAAGAACTTTTGTAGAATTGCACTGTATTCACAGGTCCACTATAAATTAATTTTTCTTTTCTCACACCATTTCTTGAACTTTTTTACTCCCCACTCTTGCTCTCTTGATGTTTTTTGCTTGAGCTTTTTGCTCAATTTCATCCAGTTGCTCATTGTTTAAGTCCAAATTTTGACCAGAAAAACACTGAAAATTTGGGACTTTTCCATTTTAAAATAGAATCTCCAAACGTCAAACGTTCACCACAAAACTACAAAGTGAGCAACTGTGAAAATTCATCCACAAAAATTCGCACCAACTCTGGCACTGAAATGGTATCCTCAGGATCTCATTGGCCATGCAAAGTTGTTTGACATCTAGTCTACAGCCAATCGGAATCAGGGCAGCAAATGCATTTTCAGCCTGCCCATTGCCCATTTGGCCTGCAAAAAGGCATGTTTTACAGAGGGCACTTTGTCATTTGCAGCGTTTTGATAATGATGAAGAATAATTTTCCTTTTGTTTCAGTCAACACTGTTTCACATACAGCATACATGTAGCAGCCCAATCAAAATGTTTAACTATACAGTGTTAAGATGTGAAGTATAATATGAAATAATTCATTTTTTGAACCGCGGTTGTAGATGAAAGTGGAGAATGATCATCGCAGTAAATTTTCCAATTTAAGCAATTGGAAAGAAGAAGCCTGAAAAAAATCAGGGCTTCAACGGGATTCGAACCCGTGACCTCCGCGTTGCCGGTGCCAACTGTCTACCAACTGAGCTATGAAGCCACACATTGGGAGCGAGGTCAATTTATTGAGTTCATATCTCCCGTGAGGAGTGAAATGATGTGAAGTATAAATTATATGAAATAATTCATTTTTTGAACTGCGGTTGTATAGATGAAAGTGAAGAATGATCATCGCAGTAAATTTTCCAATTTAAGCAATTGGAAAATTTACTGCGATGATCATTCTTCACTTTCATATACAGTGTTAAGTGGCAAATATGATGAAACCAAAGTATACATAACAGGTGGCATGGCAATGCAAGGCCTTACTGATAAACCTTTGTATTGAATAAGAGCCAGTATTCCACGAGAAGCAGCAATATTGCAGACTGCTTCCTCACTTTGACCAGGGTCTAAAAGAGATTTATCGCGATCCATGATTTGACCAAAAGACAGTGTGGGATTCTGGAAAACACAAGATAATTATCTTAACCGGAAACAGGATTTTCTGGTCACCCGGGAAGCCAGATTTGCCAAAATTTGGGCACGGGATAAGGGATTTTTTTTAACCATATGTGGGGAATTCGGGAAATCCTATGTTTGAGCAGCAATTACGAATTAACCAGGTGAGCATTAAGTGGTATCTCCTCTAAAACCAGGAGCTGCATGATTACCCGTTCAAACCAAATCAGGCTTTAGAGACAGTGTGCCTTGTATTTTTTTTGGAAAGAAAAACAGAATTCGGGGAAAAGTCGATGTCCAAAATTGCGGGATGCGGGATTTTCATGAAAAAGGAGTGGGAATTTCATTATATCATATTTAACTCACAATATCTCTCTGTTTCTGATTTGCTCAGGCCCCTGGCTTATTCTTCAGAGCTAACTACACAGTAAAGGCTATCACCAGAAAAAGGGATCAGGCAAGCGAGAATCCCTGGGGACAAATTTCATATTATAAGCTCACTTGTAAATAGCCAAATTAGCCTAAAACATAGTAACACAGCAAAAAATGCAAAATAAACAGATGGCAACTGCTACCTGGAGAATATGTGTTAGATTTTAAACATCTCTTTGTATGTCCATAATTTCTCGTGGAACAGACAAATGAAGACAGAAATTTAACATCAATCAAGTTAAGCTTGTTTTAAAGCAAGAACTACATCGATTTTGCATAACATACATAATAATATGCAGATCTTGGATGGTCTCATCCATTTTAACGGTAGATGACACCCTCGTTGATCTGCGTGATTCTTCAGATTGTATGAAAGCCTCATCCCCTAATTAGGTAGCAGGGATTGGGAAGGCCATAGGCCATGTGCATGGCCCATAAAGTTAGAAAATGTTGGATTATAAAACTGCTGACCGAGTCCAGAATGCACCCTAAAGTCGCGTAATATGCACTTTAGTTATAAGCTCCTTAATCTGTGTATTAATTTTGTGTTACATGTACAACAAATAAAAACATGAACCTAACCCTTTGTTTCTTTGATCAGTGATCTTTTGCAAATGCACTCAGTTCTGTCAAGACAGACGTACTTTGAGTTGATATTTGCTTCTAGCTGTCTTTGTCTTTCTTGCCAAAACAAATTCATTTACCATTTTAATAATTATTATTGAGATAATGCCTCCAAAGAGACTTCCTTTTTTTAGCACAAATTTGACAGCCAAGTTCAAGATCAACTGCGAAAATGTAAACAACAACAACGATATAAAAACACTTTCCAGGCCTGCAGGTAACGAATACAGAAAATTCCAACCGCGCAAAGTGGCTCATGTTTGAAAGGGACGCCATGTTTTGCAAAACATTGAAAACAAGCAGTATAGCAAAGAAGTATCAGCTTCAAAGTTACAGTAAGTTGGATTGGAGTCACTTACTCAGTTTAGTTTAGACTTAGCAATTATCATGCTTATATAATTCTGATTCTTAATGATGGACTTAGCTTGTGCTAGCTACACAACTTTCTGTGTATCAAAATTATAAAATCAATATAGTGACTGCTAAAATGGTCAAATTGATTGCTCTTTATATACTGAGTTACATGTAAGTTCAATGGATGCACTGATTGATTCAGTACATTTTGTAAAACCTGAATAAACATAATTAAAAACTGAAAAATACTCGGTACTTAATCACCAGTAATGACATATGGTTGTGAGACATGGGCACTTAAGAACGTTATGATGGATAAGCTTGCAGTACAGTGTAAGATGGAACGCATAATACTAGGCATTACCCTTTAGGATCAAAAGCAAAACACCTGGATCTGTCAAGAAACTGGTGTAAGCAATATCATCAACGCTATCAGAAAAGCAAAGCGTAGATGTGCAGGTCACATTTCCTGGCTATTTGATAATCATTGGACCATCAGAGCAACAGACTGTGGACCCAAGAGATTGGACCAGAAAACAGGGTCATCCAAAAACAAGATGGAAAGACGATCTCACCAGACAGCAGATCGGACCCTTACGGCTAAGATTAGCCAAGCACAGACACCTGTGGGATTGATCCAGGGAGGGGTGAGTGAATGCAAACCCTGCTGTTCATGATGATGATGATCGACACACTTTTATATCTTGAATTGCACATATAATTTTAATTCCTGTGACATGGTGTTTTGCAGGCGGTCAGTGCATGGTTAAACTTGCATGTCGGTGTGTGTTTTTTAATAAATATTATTAGACAAACAAACATGGCAGCGAAAAAAGCAATATTACACAGAAGGATATTTCTCGAAATCTACTCATAAATTAAAAAATTTTATGGTACTTGGCAGAATTTTTACTTTTATCGTAGTTTAAATAATGAGAACTTTAAAATGGAATTTGAACAGATGATTTTTGGGACGCGTTTAATATTACAGACTTACAATTATTATTTATTTATTAATTACCTAAAAACCAAAAGCTGTGTTCAGCCACCTTAATGGCCTATAACTTTTCAAAGTCTGGGACATAGGCCCATTTGTCTATTTCTGGCACAGGAGGATGAAGATGCCCCGAGTAAAACCCTACAAGATTTGTATAGTAGTAGGACAAAAGTCAAATTTAGTAAAAATGTTTGTAATCAATTAGACTACGAGTACTCCCCCATTTTCCCTCAGGGATAGTAGAGCGAGCAAAATACGAGCATGCGTAAAAATCACCACATGTGAGAAAGGTGACACACGACAGGGAGAGAGAAAAATGAGGGACTACAGGCAAAGCCAAGGCTTTTGACTTTAAGCGCTGCTCTCACAATGCTCTACCACGACGCACCAGCCACTATCAACACTTGATGTTTACTGATGACAATAGCATTGACAGCTCAATGAGAGAGGGAATGCCACTTTGTTACACTTAATTGATTTGAAAGGTGATACAAACTTCACACACCAAAATCAGTTGGCCATGAAGGGTCAAGAGCTTGGACTTTGTCTGAGGTCCCTCATTTTTCTCTCTTCCTGTCGCATCTTTTAGCGTTTCACTTGGTCTACTATCAGGTACCATCCCTGAGGGAAAATGAGGTACTACTCGTAGTCTGGTAATTAATTCAAACTATGTCACAGCTCAAAACATCCTTACTTAAAAGTTCACTGACTCCCTCCAAAACAGTATGGCAGGTCCTAAGCAGTTATGGGTATGAACAAATGTTTTCCTTACACGTATTCTTCAAAAAGCAGTTGCCATTCTTTACGATTTTTGTACATTGCTGCTATCTTCCTGAGGCATTTTATATAAATAAGCAATTTTTATTCACACAAACAATTACAAACAATCAGTTTTACAGCGGGGGTAGCACCCGCATTTTCGTATGGCGCCCTCTTTATGTATCTAATACACGGGTTGGAGATTCTATGAGGACATTTTTGTCATTTTTATCAAGTCTTTGGAATACTTTTGGTGGCCAAATAAATAAATACATTGAAATTATTGGCTCACTATATTGTCTATGTTCAAAAATTCGAGGGTTTGCTCCTCAACGAGACTTCTATTTAAATAAGTTGCCGTTGTAGGTATTAAAGACGTATAGAATGCAACTTTACCTTTAACAGTGAATTCTCGTATTTAATTCCTAGCAGTGACTTCTGATCGATTTCGATTTCTACCCTGTCCAGCACAATTAAATCGACCAATGCGGCACATACAGCACCTGCTCGTAGCTCCATTGCGCCGTCCACTTCACCATCCTTGGACTCTTGCCAAAGCAAAGCATGCTTCAGTGAATTTTGTGAAAATGTAAGTGAAATTGACAGCCCTCGAGAAAGCCTAAACTTTATTCTTTCAGTTGTACACACGATCGTCGGTCTCCACTTCACTTCACTTCACTTATTTATCAGGCGCGTAGGAGGGGGGGTTCGAGGTCAATTTGTCAATTTATTTGAAGGCCTCAACCTCATGAAGATGATGCAATTGCAAAAGTTTGCTTTACGAAACGGAATAGTCCTGTTGTGAGTTGATAAGCTTTATAAGTAAGTAACCCGTGTTGTGGCCCCAGTGTATCCTAGTGACCTAGTATTATATGTAGTCAAAATAATCCCACCATTGAATATATTTCCTTAGCTGTTTATGAGAATTCGGATTGACGGCCGATCAAGAACAGAAATAATGCGGGCAATTTACTTTCTCTTCGCAGTTAAAAATTTTCATTGCTTGTTCGAAGTGATTAGTGTGTCTTTCTACTCGTGTAACCTTTGTTTATGCGAGTTTTTATATCGCATTTGCTGAATGAAAATGATATAAATCTTTGAGATGATCGAAACTCGGCATTTGGACACTTCAATTACAGTAATCGGAGAAGTTCATCTTCTTAATCTAATAAATGAACAACAACTTTGCATGTGCACAACGCTTTTTGTACATTTCTTTGCCCGTTTTTGCACGACTACGACCTGAAAATGCCTAATTTCTCGTTTTATGGAGGACGTAGACAAACAACGGCGAAATTTAATTTTTCTTTCTCTAACTATGTTCCTTAGGAATTCAACTCCAGGAGGGCTCGCCTACATTTGACAAAGTAAGTGGGTAGGAATAATTGCGATAAAGACTGAAAGAACGCAAATTCACTTTTTGAGCGAGCATTGCCGTCGCTTTGTTGAATCTTAAAGTCCCTATTTTCTGTGGATAGCAAGTGAATCCCCTTACTAAAAAAAAACAAAAAAAAAAAACGATTTACTGAGTTACTTTGTGTATGAATCATTTATGTGTCAATGTCATTCTAGAGTGTGGAAAAGAGTGCTAACCATTTGCTTATAAAAATAGCCTCCGAGAGGGTCGAATAGAGTGATGCTCATATCTCTAATACAAGAGCAGTGAAGAACCTATGTTTATTATATTTGTCCATTACTCCACCTAACCTATCTATGACGTTAGTATGAACTTATTCTGTTGACCCCCTTCCGTTGACATTTTTAACATTTTGCCCGGTTTTCTCTGACAACCACTCTTAAGCAAAGGCCTTAATAGCGTTCGCTATTTTTTAAAAAGTGAATTGACGCATCTGCAATGATATTTTTAATGCTTTTGAGTTTTTACTATGACCTTCGGACTTCTTAATTTTCTTTTTCGTACGTTCATTTGAAGTTGAGCTGTTAATTGTTTGAAACAACACTGCAGGAAAAATCTTGCAAAGAACACTATACATGTTCCCTTGTTCCCTAGAAAAAATTGGAGTTTTTCCCTTGTTCCCCAAAAATAAATTAAGATGTTNAGTAAATGGCGATGTTCCCTTGTTCCCTAAAACCCCTGGGAGGCCCTCATTAATAAGCGCTAATCAGGATTGATCGCAAATCCTTTTCCGTATTTACTGTCTTATGTTGTTTAGAGCATCTTTTGGTGTTTTAATTTCATAGCTCGGTCTCGGAGCGAGTAAGGCGTAATATCGAAGACAAAGCATTTTTCATTGTCGAGATGACTGGTCCGGCCGGCAGCTCAGTTCTGACTTCCGGAAAGCGCCCTATGTTGAGGGAGTACTTGTTCCCCTACAAATCTACATTCAGTTTAATAATCCAGTGATTATAAACTAACTTAATGTTTTGAATACACCACAGTGACAACGCAATTCAAATGACAGGCCATTTTTTTCATTTGGATCATGCAAACCTTCCGGTAAGTGATCATACTTATATTTTTTGTAAGTTTAGTTTTTGTCAAATAGTTTCTGAAATGATTGATTTTTTAGGTTCTGGAGTGAGAAAGTGAATTCCTGGGTTAATATTAAGAAAAGGGTTATATGAGCTGCCTTCATGTGGTATTAAAACTTAATCCTTAAACACCTTTCCATCTAACAGTAACAGTACAGTATTTGTTACAGATGAGGAGTTTTCTTTTCTTTTTTAGCTTCAGTAACGAGCACCTCTGTACTTTATTTCAGATTTTGTTTTCGAACTTTTTGCAAAAGAAAATAGCTACTTTTTTCTGCCACCTGCCTGACTATAAAAACTACCTAACTTATCTAGTTAAATACTTTTCTTATGAACAGTAATGAAGACTTCTGTAAAAATGTCTGTGCCTTGATGGCCAAGCTGAATCAAGGACTCAATATACAGCATTCATTCCAGTTCATAAAGAAAAGTTTGTGGTTATTTGAAGATTACTGATGTGAGTATCTCTACATTTTTTTGAGTTAAGAAGACCATCATCAATCAGATCATCAATCAGGTTCTGATTGATTATGAGAGCCTAGGGCGTTTATTATATATTGTTTCATTTAATAATGTCTTTCAACTGCCTTAGTGATAATTGCCAACGAGGCAACCGAGCTAAGAAGCGAGGTTGACTCGGTGGCAGAATTATCACGCCGCGCAATGTAGGCAAAAACTCTCAAATTCTGCGTACCCCTCTAAAATTTGCATTTTTGACCATCTTTGGGTGTAAGTAAGACTGGTCTTGTATTTACAACTTGTGGTTCAAGGTTGGGTGATTCAGTGTGCAGCTGTTCATTGTCTGTTCAAGAGGACTTAACTGGTGAGCAAGCTTTAATACGATTTCTAGTTTGAAAGGGCAATTAGTGCTCTGGTTTGCTTTATAAATTGTGTTTAAAGCAGCAGCTGATCAAGGAATAGGGTTTTGCGCTCAAATTTTTGTCAGAACTAGCTTGTTCTTTGCAGCTCGACTTATATTGAGTTAGCGTGTTCGCTTCTCGACTCAGAACCAGGGTTTTCAGTGTTCTCTTTTCCTTTGTGAACTGAATTTCAAGTGGTAGTTGACCAAGGCATAAGGTTATATTCTCAAAACCAATATCAGAACCAGCGTGTTCTTCGCAGGTCGATTTACATTGAGCCAGTCCTCACCTCCCGTGAGGAATGCAACCTAATTGCGGACCTTTTTTAAAAAATTTATTTATGTTTTTCGAGAGATTTTGTCAACCAGCATGTTTTTTTGCTGCTCGATTTACATTGAGACGGCCCAAAACTCCCGTGAGGAATGCAACGAATTTGCGGACCTTTTGTTTTTCAGACTGTCATTATGCCTTTCAAGAGACTCTTTGTCCTGTGACACTCGCTTATTAGATCTTTGTATTTTATTCAAGTTTATAGTTCTATACCTCTAATATATTCCGCCCCATTCTTGCGCGCTTTCCACACATTTTAGTTTGCACCAATTTTTTTCTTATGTATATTACCACGCAAAATATTTCTTATCCCTGATGACGCTATTGCTCGAAATTTAATTATTATTTTTATTTTCAGCAGTCAAAGGCCTCATTTGAACTATATTTTTCTTTCTAACGTATGTAGCTTTGATACAACGGAATTTTCCATGAAACATAAGTGCTAACTTCCTCATATTTACCAACAAAGCTTCAAGCCATGTTGTTATTGTTTAATAAAAGTGAAACCCTAGAATGTACCAAAGTTGTTGTTTTGAAATGGTGCCATCCTTTTCTATATCGGAATCCATTTTAAACCTCTAAAATTATGAAAGAAGATCTGAATAGGCACATTCCACAAAAGATAAACGAATTCGCCTCGTTGGCACTTGCCGGAAGGTGCTCCTAGTTTTTATACTTGTATGGCTACAATATTGGACAAAATGTGTTAAGAATTTTGCACTTACTTACACACAGGACACCTATCTCATTATAAACCCTCCACTCATCCAACCCTTAAGTCAATGTGGTTCACTCAGGAACAGAAAACAGACTTCAACATTGTATTTTTTTTGGGGGGGGGGGGCGGGGGCGGGGATGGAGATATCATGACAACATACATTTTTGCTTGGCATTTTTGTACAATATTGGTAAATCAAAGAGGCAGCTTAATAATAAATATTTAATTTTCGTGTAAGTCAAAGGTTACATTATAAAAGGCCGTTAACTGAGACGTCAATTCAGGAGGTTACAAAGTTACGAAAATGTTAACTAAGGGCCTGCTTACATGAAGGTGGGGAACCCCAAGTAGGTGATGTAACATGTGGCGGGTTACCCCACCTAACATGTAAACGTGATCACATTAAAATGAGAGATTATATGGACCGGCGGATTACCCCACCTAAGCGGGTTATATGACCCATCTGGGGTACCCTACCTCCATGTAAACAGACCCTAAGTGTGGCCTGGAAAGCATGCAAATTGATTCTTACCTTTCCTAGCTTTTCTAGTGTGGACGAGCTAAAACAGCCAGAAATCATTCTTTGTAAAAAATTCCAGGATTTTTGGCATGTAAGGAAAATCATGAAAAGCTTACAAAATTTTTTTTCTTGGGCTTCCAGACCAATCAGGTTTTTAACATTCATCTGATGATGTTTTTTACTTAAAAAACCATAGGGACCTTGCGAGATATTCTCCGCAGGAGATTCGCGGCAGGAATTTGGCTGCCAAGATTTAGGGATCTCGCCGAGATTCTCGGCAGGATTTTGGCCGCCGAGATTAAGCAATGTCGGCGAGATCTCCGCAGGATTTTGGCCGCCAATATTTCTGAATCTCGGCGAGATCTCGGCAAGATATTGGCCGCCGAGATATAGGAATCTCGGCGAGATGTCGCCGAGATCCAAAAATCTCGGCGGCCAAATCCTGCCGAAAATCTCGCCGAGATCTCGGGGAAAATTTTGTACGGGTGGAAACAAATCTTTAAGTGAACCATTTTTATAGCAAAGACTGTCGATTGTTTTGATGTTACGGATGTGTCATGGTTCCGATCCCACCTGAAGTTGGAGTAATTTTCACTGTTTCAGCTTTTCTAATGTAATATTTATTACCTATTTCAAATCCCTACGA